TGAAACTTTGTGCCCTTTGCCTAGTAATTCCCCATTTCCCCCTCCCAGGATGAATCTATAGAAGGATATTATGCTTAAGTGAAATAAGACAGACACAGAAGGACAAACACTACATGATACTACTAGTGTAAGAAATCTAAAATAGTCAAAACTCATAGGAGCAGAGAGTAGAACAGTGGTTGTCCTTATCCCCTTTCTTGATACTCAGCCAAGGAGAGAAGGGCCAGGCTTCCAGCAGTCATGTGGGTAGGGGCTTTATGGAGCATCCTAGATTCCTTGCCCTTGTACTGCCCCCTCTACCTACTCATAATCCTCCTGGGGCTACCGGGAGAGGATTCCTCTGCTATAGCTGCACAAACACACAGACAGGCAAATAACCAAACCCGCCCAACCAGTGCGTGAATCCTCACCCTTAAACTTCCGTTCCCCATCCTTAACCTTAACTCCCAGGGGTACACATTTTCAGATTAGTAGAGTATGTTGCTTTAAGTTGATAAGGGGACATTCCTGAAAGGCCCAAGTCAGTATTTTCCATTATTTTTATACTCTGTAATCCCTTTCCCTACCCATGTAATATCCCAACTGCACTCCCATGAAGTAGTTTTAAACACTTTGGTATTTTTGTGTATAATTTACATATTGTACTCTAAGTTCATTCTCAAGTTATTTTTTAACAATATTTACTACAAATATAGTTTTGATGTTTTCCCATTTAAAAAACACTGCATGCTATATAAACTATATATGAAAGTACATATTATTTATAGACAAATAATTCATATTAATGTAGTATGTTTGGTTAGGGAACTGATATGGTTTGTCTGTGTCCCCACCCAAATCTCATCTTGAATTGTAACTCCCACAGTTCCCACATGGCAAGGGAGGAACCCAACGGGAGGTGATTGAATTATGGGGGCGGGTCTTTCCTGCACTGTTCTTGTGACAGAGAATGAGTCTCGTGAGCTATGATGGTTTTAAAAACGGGAATTTCTCTGTACAAGCTCTCTCTTTGCCTGCTGCCATCCACATAAGATGTGACTTGCTCCTCCTTGCCTTCCACCATGATTGTGAAGCCTCCCCAGCCACGTGGAACTGTAAGTCCAATAAACCTCTTTCTTTTGTAAATTGCCCAGTCTCGGGTATGTGTTTATCAGCAGCGTGAAAACAGCCTAATACAGGAACTGAATTGCATAAAAAATGTAGACAAAGTTTAACTATGTATTACAGGTTGAGCATCCCTAATCTGAAAATCAAAAATCCAAAATGCTTCAAAATCCAAAACCTTTTGAGTGCCAACATGATGCCACAAGTGGAAAATTTCACACCTGACCTCCTGTGACAACTCATAGTAAAAACTTTGTTTCATGCACAAGATTATTTAAAATATTGTATAAAATTACCTTCAGGCTTTGTGTTTAAGGTGTAGCATGAAACATAAGTGAATTTCATACTTAGACTTGGGTCCCATCCCCAGGGCATCTTATGTATACACAAATATTCCAAAATCCTAAAAAAATCTAAATCCAAAAAACTTCTTGTTCCAGGCATTTCAGATAAGGGATATTCAATGTGTATACTGCATTTAAAACTGGTTTCAAGAATTGATGTTCGAAATTTTTTAATTTTGATTTTCAAAAAGTTAGCTTATTTTAATAAATTTTACATATGAAGAAACAAAAGATAAGCTTTCAAGTAGTGATTTACAAACATATTTTCACAATTACCATAATGCTAGGTTTGGATGTGTGTTTCCCTCAAAAAATGAAGAGTCAAAATAGCCATAATCATTACTATACTTTTTTGATTATAGATTTTTTGAAGTACTATAGACAACTTAGTGTTTCATAAATTTTGATTGAATAAATGCAATGTGTAGATCTAGGGAAGATCAGAGACATGTTTACAGCAGAAGTATGCATTCTGCCTCCAACCATTGATTGACTACAGGTTTGCATTAAACAATACATGCTAGATCCATTCCATCTGCCTCTTCAGTTCTACTCTCCATCCTTCTCTACTCAATGACTCATTGGAAAGAGTTGGCTTTTATGGATTGCATCAAAGAATCCCTTGTGCTCTGGTTTCTGTTGGGTTTGGCCACTAGAAAGTGAAGGTAGGTGGAGCTAGGGATGTATTTCCCCAGTCTGTAGGTCACCACAGGCTGGCTGAGTCTTGTGACTAAAAGTTGCAGCTCCTGGGAAGGGGTTCTCTCCATCTCCTCACCTCTTCAGGCTTTGCTTGACCACAGCTCTCTATATTAGTCACAGTGTGCTCCACTTTTTCTTGTGGTTCCGCCCTCCCCCACACTCCACCCCCGATGTTTTTCACGTATTTTAAATATTCTCCTCATTAAACTCTCATCAAATTACATAATTTGAACATGAGCATTTCGTCTGTTTTGTGCCTTGACCCTGACTCTTATGTAATCAAGGACTATGAATGACAATGAAAAACTGCAGAAGGGTTATAAACCTAGTAGGCTGAGGCATTGAGCTAACCTTAAAGGAACTGAGCAATCAAATCATGAGTTATCTCATCTGATCTCTGGTAAGTGCCACACACACTCAGCCAAACACATATTTACGGCAAGAGAAAATCAGTCCAAACATCGTTTTATTGTGTATTTTAAAAGTAGAAATGGAAATCACAAACACTCTTTAACCATCAACACTTTCTAAAAAATTTGTAAAGTTTGCAAGCCATCAGTTGGAAAAAAAAAAAAAAAAGTTTTGCTAAGTGAGGCAATTATTTTTCACTCCATCCCAATGAGTAAATTACGGAATAATGTATGTGTGCGTGCGTGTGTGTGTGGGGGGAGGGGGGGGATGGAGTGAGGTTTAAAAGTCTATGAATATGAATAAGAATGTACAACACTACTGATGAAAATTATGCATAGCACCAAGGTTTGGAGTGAATTTTCATTACTTAATCTGTAAATGGAAACAGAGCCATAGCTTTCCTGTCCAGGGTGGAAGTTGGAATCCAAGGAAGGGTAATTTATTATTTGGCAAGGAAACAATCCCACCCATCCCATAATTGTTTGAGTCTTGAAGAATTCATGGAGAAGCTGGATTATAAACACAAAAGATAACTATAATAGTGCAATATTTTGGAAACATGACGTGACAAGCTGGATCACTGACTTCCCCACTGACCACAGACCTGCAGCGAGCTGTGCGCACGGCACGATGGCTGGCTGAGAACACTGGCAGGAAAGGAGACACAGCAACTGAGGGTGGAGGAAGCCCAGTTTTTTCTGTTCAGTTGACCATGCCAACAAGAGGCCAGAAGAGAGTGCAATATGGCACTAGGGAACACTTGTCTCAAAGTATAAAATGTTTATTGATTTTCTTTTAATAAAATCCCTCCCACTCCATTATGGCTTACATTATTGAGGTGGTGCCAGCTACTGGGCTCCAGTGAAGATATTTTTTTCAAAGTGAAGGACCTATTCATCCAGATTCTTACTACTCTTTACATCTCTGACCAAAAAAAATTGCTATGCCTGCCTGACTCTTACCAGCATCTCTCTTACCCTCACATGCATGCACACACATACATGCACATTTATGGGAAAGTTACAGTCAATGATTCTTGAAGTAAAAGAAAATCCATAAGCCCCAAGGCAACACCTTGGAAGAGGTTGATGGACCCAAGAGAGAAAGGTCATGGGAGAGTAGAGGTGTGACCTCCTTTTCCCCAGGACATGTAAGATGGCCAAAAAGAATCGGTACAAATCTTTCCACCTCCCCCCTTCGCCTTGTTTACTTTGTTTTACCTCGCTCTGCTTTCACCCTGTTTTGTTCATCCTCTTTACTGGCTAAAAGAGAACCAACTGAGAGCCACCAGGTTGAACTAGAGGACAAAATACTGGTTACAATGGGAGCCTATGCCCTGGAGGCTAAGGTATGTAGCCTTCCAGAGAAGACCTCCATAACCAATGGTTACAGCATATTTTCTTCCCAGGCACTGGGCAAAACAGCAAAATTAATGCAATTTTTTCCAAGTCTCCCTCCCTCACCTTCCACAACCCTACCTCAGGGAGCCAATATTTTCTTGCATTGCTCTGCTCTCAAAAATGCTGCCCTGGGCAGCTCACACCAATGCTTGACCCAAAGGAGTCACATGAATAAACAAACAGAGGAATAATTATTTAGGAATATATTCCCCCCAAATTATCTTGCCCTCTGCCAAATCAAAACTTCCCTTTACTGATGACCATCAGTTTACTACTGATGTCATTAAAAAAACTGGTGGTAAATCACACTATAAATACATATAGTGATATTTACCACCAGTTTAACCCTCCCAGAGGACCCCGTCATCCTTAAAGTAGATCTTTGTACATTGGAAAAAGCTATAACCCAAATCTGTTGGGGTCAATGACACATGGGATCTACGGCATTTAATAGTATGTAGTCATAACACCCCACCCCTTGCCCCAGCTCACTTTTCCAAGTGGCGCTGCATCCTGAGGGGCCTATAAGCAGCCATGATGACAGAGGAGGTAGATATAAACCACCACAAATAAAAAGGGCATCTCTTCTAGGAACTGGATAATGTCCCAAGGGAGCAACACATTTCTAGCTGCTGACCATGTTGTCCTAAACAGTTCTGCCCAAACACAATTTTATATCAGCATACATCGTGTTACTCAAACCCATTGATTTGCTGCTACTGACCAAAGTATGATGAGTCAGTTGTCTTCATGAGGGTATTTTCACAAAATAGTTATATTTTCAAAAGTCATTAATGAAATTCACTGTAAGAATGCATCCATGTATCTTAAAATGTGCTAATTCTTTTTATTAACACCACTGCCTCATGCAGTGAGTTCTAGAACAACTACAATGCCTCTTAAAGAGACCTGGACAAGTAAGGTCTTTCAAAAAGGAACTGATGTAGTGAACACTGGATTCGGGGACAGGACTTATCCACCTCAGGTGCTTGCAGAGGCCTGGGGAGCCTCCTGCGAGGCCATGAGGTGACTGGGCTCTTACCTTACCACACTGCTTACATTTCCCCTCCTGCCGACGCCTGTGCACCCAGTGATGACGTACAAAATTCTGTGGGAAAACAAAATTAAATGAATATTTTTAAAAATTTATTTTTATAGACAGGGACTTGCTCTGTCACTCACACTGGAGTGCAGTGGTATAATCATAGTTCACTGCAGCCTCGAACTCCTCTGCTCAAGCCATCCTCCCATCTCAGCCTCCTGAACAGCTAGGACTATAGGCATGAGCTACTGCACTTGACTGAATATGTTTTAATTTGCAAACCTCAATATTCATTTTTAATGTCGCAATACTATTGATTTATATAAACCACGATCTAAGCCCAGATGAGCCCAGAAACAAATATTTATGAGTATGACTTGTTTAACAATAAACATGAATCTACTCGGACAAATGAAGTTACTTCTCCATCCCCAAAGATCTTTCATATCTGTAGATTCCACTTCTCATGCCTTCCCCCCACGTCTTCCTAGTGGCAACTGGCCACACCAGATTTCTGTTACTCTACCGTCTTACTAGTCAAACACTCTGCAGCTTTGTGAACACAGTAGAGGACCTTGAGCTGGGAGGTAACTGAGGCAGGTAAAAGAAATGGCCAAAGAAAAGTGGAAAGGTGAAGGGGAGAAGCTGAAACAACAATATCCAACTCAATTTAACAAATAGGTATGTAGTGCTTTATCTGTGGCAGGCAGGCACCACACCAAACATTCTAGCTAGAGATAATGTAGATCAAACTCTCAGAAATAGATCTCCTAATACAAGACATAGATGTAAGAATTACTAACTAGATAGAGTGAAGAAAGAGAAAAGCTAAAGGCAAGAGATGTCAAGGACAAGAGATATAAGCATATCGATGATGTTTCTGCAATGGTATTGTGTTTAAACCATCCTTGGGTACCATGAACTATTCCAGATTAGCTTTCAAGGTCTATCTTTGTCTCAGACTGTAGGAAACACAGAAAATCCTTTTCCTCCCAAGTAGGCAAGCACTCCTGGGGCAGAGTCAAGTAGCACCATTCACCATTACAAGAAAGTCATCCTCAGGACTAAGAATGCAGGCAAGCCCTCATAACTTACAAACAATTCATCCCTCTGACAACAATACCCATAAAGTGTTCATTATTTTCTTTTGCTCTTTTCTGGGAAAACACACTTAATCTAATACTAACATGTCTATTGTAGGGTCTAGCCATAGTCCTTATTTTCCCTTTAAAATATATTTAATATATTAATATATATTCAATTTAATATATAAATATATATTCAATTTAAAATATATATTAATATATTTAATATATTAATATATATTCAATTTAATATATAAATATATATTCAATTTAAAATATATATTAATATATTTAATATATTAATATATTCAATTCAATATATTCAATTTATTAATATATATTAATTTATTAATATATATTCACTTTAACATGTATTCAATTATTTAAATTTTTCCTACATGCCAGGCACTGTTCTGTTAGTAAGTACAGATGGACAGAAAATAGATCAGTGTAGAGGGAAAAAAAGTTATATATCAAGGCATGAAATTCAGAGTGACAAGAATACCGCTAATAAGCATTAGCATTATCAATACTGAAATGCCACCTCTATTTCTCTTAATAATGTCAAATCCACTTAAACTAAAACTAAACAAAGACTCTGGAGGAATAATGGTCTTTTAACTATAATCAGATACAAAGAAGCACAATGGTCCCACAATTTAGTCTAATGTTTGTCTCGCTTTTCCTACTACCACAGTTTAATAAAACAAAGACACAAGCTTAGATTGTTCTAAGAAAGAAGCTAATTATAAAAGCTAACACTTGTTGTGTACTATGAGCCATGCACTTTAAGAAATATTTTATAAGTAATAATTCTTTTAATTTTCATGAGAATTTTCATGAGTAGAGATGCCATTTATTTGGAATGTACCGGTAAAATCCTATGAGTTGTTGAAATATTGAAATATATGTTGATTGGGAAATTGCAGTTTAGTGCCCCTAGCATCTCTCTGACTGCTCCCTTGCATCCCCTCAACATTAGAGACCACTTCTACCTCCTCAATATTAAGCAATTACAATGTTAATTTCTGACATAATAGGTCTCCTGGATCCTATTCCAATGATCTCTCTCTTCTGAAAACAAATCATATTGTCTGAGCAATGTTACTGGTTCCCCCAAAGAATCTCAGAATGCTGGGGGCTGGGCCCAGCTGGTGGTGGTTGTCTGTACAACCTTAAATATCCACATGGATGGACAATTCTGGATCCTGTGGCTGGCTGTGGCTTTCAAGAAAATGACAGCAATTCCAGAATAACCTGCCCAGTTATCAGTATCTATCCCATCAGTTTAGTGCAAACATTCTACTGAGGATGAAGGTACTGGACCCTCCACCTCTTTACTTTGCAGCTGAGGCTACTGCTGACACCTTTAGCATCTGCCTACTCAACGGATAAGATGAGAACCTTAGTCCACTGCCTGCTTAGGAATAAGCATTAGGGAGAACCCGAGCCAGCTGCCAACTGCAGCATATCCCAATTCACACATTATCAGAGGGTTTGACTTCCATGGTCAATATCATTCTCATTTTACAGAAAAGGAAACTAATGCAGAGAAGTCATTACTTAAAATGTAAAGGTCAAAGTGAGGGTCCAAACCCAGACAGGCTGGCACCAGAATCTGTGCTCTTACCATTGTGTCACTGTGCCTTTCCTCTGTTCCGCAAGGCAGGGCTCACACAACTTCAACATGACATGCCAATGAATGATTTCAATGACAGTAGTAGAAATATTGAATATATAAAAATGTCAGTATCATACAGAATAGAAAAATGTAATATAATTGCTGTTAGTGTAGCAGAAACTGAGGGAAAATGAACAATATCATTGATGTTCAGAAAAAAATCTGTAGTTATTGAGATTATAAATCAGCTAATGACTATCAATTTAAGAAGGAACATGTTGGAAACATTTGATGCAATTACCTGTGTGAAATCATGGCTGACTCATGGGATCACTTAGCAAGTGACAGCTCTACTCAAAACAGTCAGCCAACACTTTCCATATATCAACAATTATTTAGGAATCTTAAGACTGACTTCCTCATTTGTACTGCAACACGCAGTTGTTCCTTCTTCCCAGGAGATATGTTCTAAGACTCCCAGTGGATGACCGAAACTATGGATAGTACCAAATTTTACATAGACAATGATTCTTCAATCTAATAACTGAGAAAACTACTAAGTAATGAATGGGCAGGTAGTGGATACGCTGGACAGAGGGGTGTTTCATATCCCAGGACAGAGTAGGATGGCGTAAGATTTCATCACACTACTCAGAACAGCATGCAATTTAAAACATGAATTGTGTATTTCTGGGATTCTCCATTTAATATTTTTGGACTGTGGTTGACCTTGGGTAATTGAAACCTTGGAAAACAAAATCATGGATAAGAGGGGACTACTGTATATAATTTGGCAAGCAGATGTACAATATCATATAGTTTAGTTGGGGAATAAAAAAAGAACATTTAAAAATTATTTAAATATTACTCTCTATGGCTCTTCCATTTGTTAAATATTTTTAATATCATCCTTCCTAGAAAATAAGTCAAAAACTAAGGCATGGATTGATAAACTAACTTATACAAAATCACTATCATAGAAGAAAATGAGTAATTGTATCCAAAATATAGCTCTGTGATTTGAGATGTCCAGCACCCTTCTGTCCAGAGTTCTTTTTAGGCCCAATAGAAATTTATTCTACTGCTGCTTAATGATAGTTTGAACAAAGCAAACATCCAATACATGTGAGTTTAACTGAATGGAATTATCCACCTAATTTCTTTGACGATTAAATCACATAGTTACCATGGAGGAGGGGAGGATCATCAACTGTCTTCATCAATAAGGAAAATAACATTACTATAGAATCATTTACATTTTCTAATCCTTATATCCCAAGTGCTTTAATTTCTCACCCTCTTTTCTTTTGACCATTATTAAGAGCTCTTAAGTTGTTGGACTGACATTGGACTCAGGATCCTTAACACTGCAAATGTGAGTGTTGACACATTGTTAAGATAGCAAAGCAAGGCTTCTAACATCATAAAACCTTTTTATTGTTCATCAATAACTTCTGAATTATTCATATACAACTTCAAGCACTGGGCAAGGAAAGGGCTATTACTTATGGGTGTTAAAGTATTGGTAATGCATTATTTCAGGGCTTATATTCAGTATTGTTAGCAAAAATACATAATACAGTTGCTTGGCTATTTTCAAACAGCCAGTTGAACTGGGATAAAAGACTACAAATTGGGTTCAGTAAATACTGCTCAGGTGATGGGTGCATCAAAATCTCACAAATCACCACTAAAGAACTTACTCATGTAACCAAATACCACCTGTTCCTCAAAAACCTATGGAAATAAAAAATTATATATATATATATATATATGTGTGTGTGTGTGTGTGTGTGTGTGTGTGTGTATATATATTTTATAGAGTTTGAAAGGATCTTAGAAATCATAACCCAATCCATCATGGCTTATGACTAAGAAAAAGGAGATCCAGAAAGATTCAACTTAGATGGCTCCAACAAATATTTATTTAAAACTTGTCACACGTCAGGCACTATGCAAATGCCAGGGCATAGTGACCAACAATCTGTGCTCCAGAGACTCTTACCACTTAGTGGAAAAGAAGCAGAGGTATAATTCGAACTAGGGTCAAACTAATTCTAAAGCAAATGTTTTTTCATTTACTAGGTAAACATCTAAATTAGTAGTAGTAAGAATTCTTAATTTTTAATTAAGAATATCAAATGAGTCATAGTCAGTGAGTCATGAGTTTCATCTTCAAAATGTCCTTTTAGACTAAGAGTTCCTAAACATTTTGAGAGAAATGAATACCTTTGTAAATGCATTCGGTCAGCGGATATCCATCAATCACATACTCTGTGTTTTGATGCAATTAATTTAGGACAAAATCTATGAGTGACCTCCCAAAATTTACACTAAAGGAGGGAGACATTCTTTAGACAAGCAAACAGTAATATGCCTAAATTATCACGGTATACAAAGTGTCCTGAAAAGAAAGAACAAGATACTTTGATAAAGAACAATATACTATGTATTTAAAGGTGGTTGTTAAGGAAGATCTCTGCAAAAGACTGGGGTTTGTGTCCCCTCCAAATTTGTATGTTGAAATCCTAAACCCCAATGCAATGGTAATAGGAGGTGAGGTGTTTGAGAGGTGATCAAGTAATGAGGATAGATTCTTCCTGGATGCAATCAGGGTCCTTATAAGAGAGACAACAGATAACTCTCTCACCCTCTTTCCTCCACATGAGAACACAATGAGAAGGTGGCAATCTGCAACCCCAAAGAGGGCCCTCACTAGAATGGGACCATGCTGATATATTGATCTTGGACTTCCAGCCTGCAGAACTGTGAGAAATAATTTTTGTTGCTTATAAGCCACCTAGTCTATGGTATTTCATTGCAACAGCCTGAACGGACTAAGACAGTGTCTGAGGGGGATGATATTTGAACTGAGCCTAACTGTAAGAAACAGTCACGCAAAGAGATTTTCAGTACAGCAATGAAATACACAAATATCCAAAGGTGGGGAATATCTTTGTGTGTGCCACACAAATGGAAAGAAAGTCTATATGGGAGCTGGAGGAGGCTGGAAAGGCAGGCAGGGGCCAGACGACGTGGGCCTTTTCATGCCAAGACAGAGGGTTTGCTTTCGCTCTAAGAGTTATGGAAACCACTGGAGAGTTTTAAGCCAGGGAAAATTATATTAGGTTGGTTCAAAAGTAATTGCGGTTTTTGTCGTTACTTTGAATTGCTTTTGTACCAACCTCATAATCTAATTTTCACTTTGAAAGATTACTTCTTTAAATCATGGGTGGACTGAAAGTGAAAACTGAAGGGTCATGAAGAAGCTATTGCATTGGCCAAAGGGGAGAGGTCACAGTACCTTAGTTTAAGGTGCTGACAACAGAATTGGAGATAATTGGGTGGATTTGAAATATATTTTATAAATAAAATTGAAAGGACGGGCAAATGAATTAGATGTGGGCAGTCTATGAGAGAAGGAATAAACATGGTCCCCCAGTTTTCTCAACTGAGAAGCCAGATCAACAGCCATCTCATTTCCTGAGGTGCATAGGATTTTCTTAAATCATTTTTATGGTAATGGGAATAGTCTAGTGTTTGATGTATTATATTTTAGATGACTGTGATACATTCAAAAGACATGCCAAGTGGAACTCCAAGAAAGGCAGACTGGAAATGTAAAGTTAGGAGTTGTCAGCCCACATGGTATTTGAAGCCATGAGACCGGATGAGCTCCTCTAACAGGAGTGGGCAGAGAGAAGAGAACATAGACAAGAACTAAGCTCAGAGGGATTTGCAGAGGTTGGGGGAATAAGCAATGAAAAAGAATAGAAAGGGCTATCCAATGAAGCAAGAAGAAAATTAGTAAAGGGTGATAAGGGAAGCCAAGAGAGGAGAGCATTCCAAGAAGGATGGAATATGTAGTATCTTGAATATTTCTGAGAAGAACAGAAAAATAAATAACACCCAATACATTTAGCATATAGGAGATCATAGGCAAACTGAAAGCAGCAGCAATTTCAGTAAATGGATAGAGCAGACATCAGATTAGAACAGGTTACAATGACTAGAAAGTGACATACTGAAAATAATTTATATAGTTAACACTTTTTGGAAGTTGGCAGTGACTACAAAACTGAGAACTAGAGCAGTAGGTAAGACACAGTTGGTGGCTAAGGAGTGTTTTTGTTTTTTTTTTTTTTTAAAGATAGAAATTATTAGAGTGTGTTTATGCTGGTAGAAATTATCTAGAAATAGAGGGGGGTGATGAAAACATATTAAAGGAAGGAATTTCAAGTCCTTGATAAGAAGACAAGGGAGAATATCCAAAACCCTTATGGAAGGTCTAGCTTCAGAGAAGTGGTACAGGCTAATAAAAACCAAAAACATGCTGTATTAGAAAAATTGCACAATTAAAATTGTCTCTCTCTCTTCCCCTGCCTCCACACTGACCTATCGATAGAGAGAGATACATACTGGAGGGCAGAAAGCTAAAGGTAGGTATACGAATCCCTAGGCTGGAAAGTCATAAACTCCATCTTAACATGAAACTCTCTCTTCCAGTTTCCTAAATAAAGCACCTCTTTCATTTGAGTTATCACTGAGTTATCTTCTGGCCCACGCTGTCCGCACTCTGGGTGGCACTAAGACACCACAGCCCTATCATTCTTCTCCTGCCCACCTCATCCTGCGCATGGCCCACAACCTTCCTATTGCTGCTACGCTGGGAGAAGACAATCGATGAAGACAACTATGTTTTACTCTTTCTACAACCTCCATCCCAACCTACTCTCTTTCCGCATTTTTTCCCATCCTTTTGCTTTGTCACTAACAATTAGAGCATTCATATTCATGTTGTCTTTTTTCATCAACTGTCTTTAAACGTTTGTAATTCTCAGATATCTCCTACTCCCACTCTCCACGTTCATCTATTCCCACAGCTTTTATTACTGTGCAAATATGCTGATGACTCACAATGCCTGACCTCCAGTCCAGTCTTCCTCATAAGCTCCAAACTCATATACCCACTCAACATTCTATTGGGCATCTCCAGTTGAGGACAACAGGGACACCTCACACTTCATAGTTCTACAACTAAAGTCATTACCTCCCCACCCCATCCTCACATCAACTCATTTTCATACATCTAATCAGTTTTTCAGTTTTTTTGTTTTGTTTTGTTTTGTTTTGTTTTGTTTTGTGTATGTGTGTGTGTAGCAGTAGCTTGGTTTAGTCTGGGCCCCTCTTGTGTCCAAAATTCAATCAGTTACTATATCCTGTCAATTTTGTTTCCTCCAAATTCATATCTACCAACATTATTCTTAGTTCATGTCACCATGATTTCTTGCCTAGATTACTAGCATGGCTTCTGAAAGTTGCCTGTATGCCTCCAACTCTTGAACTGCATGGTATTTCCTCCACACTGCAGCCTGAACAATATTTGGCTTAAAGTAGTTTAATGCTCACCCGCCAACTATCCTGATGATAAAACACTCAACTTGCAGCATGGCTTACAGGAACCTTCACGATCCAGCCTTTGCTATCTCAGATCTCATGTCTTACTCAGTACAGTCTCTCATTTGGATTTGCATGCTCTTCCTTTTATCCAGAAGGCTCTCACCACTCACCTCCTAACCACCCTCCTCTCAACTAACTTAGCTCCTCAGGAGAAGCCCCTTTGCTGACCCCTTTCCTCTCTTTCCTATTTGTTACTACACAGAGTTGATTGGAGGAGTAGACCATCCAGGAAGGTTTCCAAGGAGTAAATCTGTAAGTGGAACTGAACCTCATCTCCCTGAGAAAATACATTGATTAGAAATCATCTTTACTGGACTTTGTGCTCAGGAGGATATCGTATAAGATGGTAATGTTTAGGAAGCAGTGAGTGACTGCTGGGCAGGCGGAACTACATTCTAGGAGGACAGGTTCTGTTCATTGCGGGTTTCTGTTTCGCTGATTGGGGAGTGCAATTTTGGGCCTGAAGCTAAACTGTCCAGAATAACACAGGAAGGCTGAGAACCCTCCCTGCCTTCTCCATCTTTGCCTGAACTGTGCTCACTGTCTCCTCTAAATAAAATATGAACAAATACGTGCTGTCTCCTCTTGTCATACCTCTGCTTCCCACTAACACATCAGTAACAACTCTTCATTCAAATTTCCTCTTTACCTGTTTATCTTCATGACCAGACGGGAGGGTCAGAGACCGAGAACTGAATATAGTTCTAGCTTATGATGTATTTATTCATTTACTTAACAAACGAAAACACCAAGATTTAGAGAGCTTAGGTGAGATGCCCAAGATCACACAGCATCAAGGCTGGTTTTAAAAGTGGACCATCTGACTCCAGGGTTTATAGGAATAACCAGTTACTGTGCTGCCCCATGAGTAGCTTATACCCACTCAAAATGGGAAAATGCACGTAAAATCAACCAGAAGACATGGCGACAGAGCGAGCCTCTGTCTCAAAATACATAAATAAATAAAGTCTATTTCTTTCCCCTTCAATTCTATCACTACCGCCTTCCTCTAGTCTCTGGTTCATTCGGTAAGACCTTAACTCCCCGGTACATTTTATGAGAATAAAGTCCAGTGTGCACATGTTGAAAAGACTTGGAGATTTTATTGGTTGTATTTATGGATGTGTTAACAAAACATTGGCGTGCAATGGAGAGAGATAGAATTTATTTTTTATTCCCTGGTGAATATCTATGAAGCCACTGAATCAATGAGAAATTGAAGGTGATACTTGAAATCAAGCTCTGAAATACTCACTTCTCTTGGTGACCTTGAGCCTCCTTCTCGAAATGTTGGTTTACATCTGAAATTAATCTGTCATTCAAAAAGAAAAGTATATTATATTAGAGATACGCATCAGACTAGACTGAATTACCTGGAAAAAAAAAAACAGTGATAGATATTGAGACTGAAAAGCAAAACCTTCAAAGAACAAGAAACAATACTCTTCTTAGTCTTTTGAAATCATCGCATTAGATAATCAACTGAGATCCCAGGTGATTCTATATCTCCAACCCCTTTCCTTCATTCTCAAGAATGAAATCTAAGTATCTTTAAACAATAATGCTCTTACACCACAAATCTGAGAAACTGAGATAAGAAAGAGCCAGAGGAAAGATATTGGCAGCTGAAACTACTCAGCTGGGTTTCTGATTGTAAAAATAGAAAATATAAACTTGAGATTTTTTTAGTATTATGATGACTATTCAAAGACAAGAGAGTTACTTTTTTTTTTCTTACTTTTGGAGTCTCGTTCTGTCACCCAGGCTGGAGTGCAGTGGTGCGATCTCAGCTCACTGCAACCTCCGCCTCCTGAATTCAAGCGATTCTCGCGATTCTCCTGCCTCAGCCTCCTGAGTAGCTGGGACTACAGGTGCGTGCCACCACATCTGGCTAATTTTTTGTATTTTTAGTAGAGATGGGGTTTCACCATGTTAGCCAGGATGGTCTCCATCTCCTGACCTCGTGATCTGGTCGCCTCGGCCTCCCAAAGTGCTGGGATTACAGGCATGAGCCACTGTGCCCAGCCCAGAGTTATTCTTTATAAAAGGATTCAGCATTGTTTTTCTTTTAGATGTGGAGGTCTCCTAGTAGGCACATTGACATCTTGGTTAGCTACTCGATAAAGTGAAAGGAGCAAAAGAATAATGGCAGAGATCAGTAAGTGAAGTTGGGGCAGAAAAGAAAATATTAAGATAACATGTTGGTAGTCATTGCCATAAGACATAAGCTAGGATCAACTGGTCATGTCAGTGAAACTAAATGAATGTCATGGGGGACTAAAATATTTCAATGTTTTTACCCATGACAACTCAAGAACATAGATAATACACAGAGAAACACACATAAAAATGGAGTAGGAAGTGTGAAAGGGAAAAGGATGGCAGGCAACTCACTACTGGAGCCTTTCCCATCCCCTAAATAACAAATAAATGGATTTGCCGAATCCACTTATTCTGGAGGTACGACACCACCAGGATGTCACTTCCAGTCCCACCCACACATTTGAGCAGCAACAGGAGGAGCACTGCCCAGCAGACTGAGAGCCGGCTTCCAGCTTGGCTCACTCCCTTGCAGGCACTTTGAGAAGAAGTAAACCACACAAGTCAGATACATGTGAACAACAATTATAAAAAGCTTATAGAACTTCCTCCTTCTTAAACAACTTGTGGAAGAGCCTATGGGTGAATAGTAATGCTTGAACTGAGATGATATAATAAGAGAATTCCAGGCTTTTCCATCTAACTGTTATTCCATTTCCCAAGAGTCAATGTAAAATGATGTCAAATTACACTTCAGCAAACAAGAGAGTGAATGACCCTAAAACATTGTCTTTCCATTATCAATCTGGTAATAATGTTGCACTTCCAGCTTTTTTTTAAGGGCACTGTTTTCAAAAAGTTGGAACTAGAAAGTTACACTGGGCCTCTGAAGACCAAATACTTGCAATGTAACAAAGCTGCAGCAGGGGGCGCGCTCTTACCTTTTCTAGCTGCTCAATGCAGGCGGTGTGGACGACGATTTTACAGACTGCACACTTCCTCCTGAGAGCTGATTTCTATAACATTCAATTCAAAAGACAAGAAAGAAATGTTAACAGTCTGTTCTGAAGAGTCCCGAAGAGTTCCCTAGTATTAAAGTGGGCATATATAATATATACATAAACACACCAAATATTGTAATTATTTCTATTACAAAGCAAATTTAAAACTTCATCTTAAATATTAAATAAACTTTATCAACAGTCTCTCCACTCACCAAGTAGCTCCATATCTGCATGTCTTAGGGTGGGCTAGATTGTCTCTTCAAATAATAATAATAGCTCCAATATTTTGAGCATATAATAAGAACCAGCTCTTTATTCTGTCATTTCTAAGTTTCAGCACCTTACAATGTAGGCATTATTCTCTTCCATTTTAAAATATTTTCTACATTATCACTCAAGTAGCTAAGGGGCAAGACCAACATCCAAACTTAGATCTAAGTTGAAAACAGGCATTCTTTCCCTATTGCAAAAGTGTCTCGATTTCCAGGGGCCAGTCATTTTAGGCTTCTATCCCAGGCATGAGTCTAGACTAAGTTACTTGGGTTTCTGCCCAAATCTTCCAGAAGGAAAAGAAGGCAAGTTCAGCTTTCACATCCAGGAAACAATAATAAGAATAGCAACAAAAGCAGGAAAAGCTGCTAAAAGGAATATAGTATTTGCTATGTGCTCTTATAAGCACTTCACAAATGGTAGTTCACCTAACCCTCACAACCCTATAAAACAGGTTCTATTCTTAATTCCATTTTACTGATGAGAAAACTGCCCAAGGTCAGCGAATTAAGGCACAGCAGGGCCAGGTGGTCTGGCTTCAGAGATCATGCTTATAAGCATTACACAAGTTGGCCTCTCTGACAGTCAATACTAGTTTAAAATTATAATACAATAAAACTTTTTAAAGTTTATCTTTTTCTCTAATGATAAAAAATGGACTGCATGGAGAGAGATGAATGAGCGGAATCTACATTTCATGACTGCCAATGTCGTACACGATCTAAGATAGGAAAGTTCAGCCCTCTCTACAAAGGACAGACTGGAAGGAGGATTTGCATGAATAATTTCTGTGTTTGAGCCTGAAAGTAACGCACTATAACTAAGCCTATCTATCAAATGGTCTATCAAAGCATCCAAGTGTGAAAGGCCTTGAGTTCCTGTTCTTAAGGAAGATACTCTTAGAGATTGCTGGCAACCTGCCCCTTCCGAGGAGTAGTTTCCCTGCTGAGGTATAAATTTTGAGCCAATTGTGTCAGGTAGGTGAGAAGAAATAAAGAAATAAAGTACTGCTGCAGCCAGAGGAGACTCCAGTCTCCTGGAGGAGCTGCAAACCACCACCTTGGAGGGGTAGGATCAGGAAAGAAACTGCAGCCTCATAGGTCTTGGACAGCTGAATTCATTCAACATTATCAGCCACCTACAAAGAAGCTAAAACACTGCAGTACCACTGCCATGAAACTTGTAGAAGAAATCCACTGACTGAGATGCCTTTACTCTGCTTGCAGATGCTTTTATCACTCTTGGATTTCCTCTTCCTGAGGGAAGAACATGGTGTAGCACATGAAATCAGTTTGACAATTGCTTTTGCACATAACAATGATAAAAGAAACCAAAGCATCTAGCTACACTACTGAACAGTGTCTTGTTCTACTACTAAAAAAGAAAAGAAGAAGAGAAAAAGAAGGAGGGGGAGGAACAACAAGAAAACATGAAGCAGTAATTGTAGTAGCACAGCAGTAGCAATCAAAAGAACAATCAGAATATTCTATTTTGCTCTACAGGGTAGGGCACCCATAAGCGAATCATGGTTTCCCTTCTGTTTCCTATGGATATCCCGGTGCCAATCACTGCTTTGGCACCACCTGCAGAAAATGCATGGGGCATTTGAGTCACATTGCTAATCAGAGTTACAGTGACACTAAGGAAACTGGAGTTGATTCCAGTCTATTCATTTCCCATGAAACTCTTAGCAAATTACTTTGTGGATAAGCAAAGCAATATTACCACAGGTAGGCAACCACTTACGGGCTGTGATTTAAGGATGCCTGAAAAGCCTCCCTCCTTGGCAATAACTCTGTCCTAGTCTAGCTTCATGCTTGACACTATGCTCTGCATTAAGTTCTATGGAGTTCCAGGGATTTCTTAGGCTCCTATGAAAGTCACTGAGGATGGGAGGAGGGCACGGAGAAAACTCAGGAAGCCTCATGCAGCCAATGAAATGGAATGCCTCCTCCTGTCTGTTTTACAAATCAAGATTCTGAGTCAAAATATCTTTTGAACAAGGGATCTGGGCTAGAGGAATTTGAGAACCGGTGAGTTAAGATATGTTGTCTCTCAGCTTTCTGGAACGTCATGTAAATGCACTAACATTCAAATGGAATAACTGAAGTGCAATGTTCTGCAGATGATAATATATGGAGTTGAGTGCTGTAAGTTATAAAACTGATTTTAACTGAACTATATTGGGTTTTAAAAGATCCTCTTAAAATATATTACGTACTTATGTGCCTTTTGAGGCAGAATATATAGACCATATTCCAAATTTTTCTTCATAAAGATTACAACATGATGCACTGTACTACACAGAACAGTCATTTTTCTCTTTCCCGTCCTTCTGTTTGGGTAGAGCTCATTTTGAGTCAGTGTCGCTGTCTTTTGTTGCTCTCAATTTCCTAAATGGCAGCTTCTTAACAGCTTTTAATTTGAGAAATCAGATAATTACAGTTTACAATCATATGTAAAACTAAGTAAATAAATTCTGAGTAAAGGTCCAAGGCCTTTTGCCATAGTAGCAAAGTAAATAGATTTGTAGTTCCTTAATTGATGGAAACTGTTTTAGCAAATCTGAAACTTTGACCACTGACTTTGTGGCGTATGACTATGTTTCAAGTGGTTAAAGTTATCTGAAGTAGCTGGATAATAAGCTTCTGAATAGAAATTGCCCAAAACACATAGAATTTTGTGCTTGGTTAAGTTGCAATTTTTTATTTTGAAGTTCCCAGCTATATACAAAGGTAAGATGCAGGAATCTGGACATTGTAAACACTACAAATATTCACTTTTCCCCAAATAACTTATATGAGCCAGTGCTTCCTTCTCTATGAAAGGTGATAAATTAAACCAAGAAAAGTCACTTAAAAGCATTCAGTAGGGGCTGGGTGCGGTGGCTCACGCCTGTAATCCCAGCACTTTGGAAGGCTGAGGCAGGCGGAACACGACGTCAGGAGATCGAGACCATCCTGGGTAACACGGTGAAAACCCATCTCTACTAAAAATACAAAAAAATTAGCCGGGCATGGTGGTGGGCGCCTGTAGTCTCAGCTACTCGGGAGGCTGAGGCAGGAGAATGGTGTGAACCGGGGAGGCGGAGCTTGTGGTGAGCTGAGATCGTCCCACTGCACTCCAGCCTAGGTGACAAGAGTAAGACTCGGTCTCAAAAAAGCAACATTCAGTAGGTAAGCTCTTATTCCTCACATTGGGATATAGTTGTTATAGAACCTAGCACAAAAACATAATTTAAACAAATAAATATTGCCTAGAACATGAAACATGCTTAAAAATTAAAATTATTTAAAAAACAGTAATTTGCTCTCATCAATGAATGTAAAGGCCAACTGAGCTTACTGCCTTAAATATCAAATAGCACCTAAGCACCTTTACTAAGGGTTCCCTGATTTTGCTGGTGCTGATATTCAAAAGAAACTTACTTGCAGGTGTGTGGTGCAGGGCGGGCAGAGCGGGGAACATATCTGTTTAAACTAAGACACTATGGAGCACAGTATAGATCACATTCCATTATATTACACTGTTCTAATAAAAACATGAGCAACATTTACTTAAATAACAACACAATAAAACATATGCTCGGTTTTAGGATGGTGGGCACGATCTCACCAGCAGCCACACAGTGGTTATAAGAGAAAACACATCCTACATATTTCCCATGTTGCAGGCGCTGCTGGCACTCAAAGTAGTGACAGCTCTCCACCAATCTTCAGCTCACAGCAGGCATGAGAGAAAAACCATCACAGCTTTAGACCACTGGAGCAGGCAATGGGGACTGAGGAGGACAGAGGGATCAGTGGCAGGCAGTGGTAGAGAGTATACAATTGTCCCTAATAAAGAGATTAATATTGAATCCTATCCCACCCAACTACATCCCTTACCTAAGTCCCTGATCTATAAGTACCAAGAAAGCTGTTTTTTTTTTTTCTTCCTTTGAGCAAGATATGTGATTTCTGCTAAGTAACAATGTATATCTGGTGGGAGTTGAGAGAGTTTGACAGAGAAAAAGAGGAAAGGAAGGAAGGGAAAGATGATGAAAAATAAAGATGAAGAAGAGAGAAGGGGAAAAGATGGGAAAGGGTGGGAGAGAAGAGGGAGAAGAGGGGAGGGAAGGAGAAGGGGGTGGGTCCTTCAGGGCCTGGGGTTATCTGCTTTCACAAACCTATGATTTATCAAAGGATTGGGGCCTTTTTGCTCCCCAAGGTAAGTAAAATTAAATATCTGTCATTCCCAATTGTCAGAAGTTTGACACCCAAGAAGCAGGTACAACAAGGCTGGCTGTCCGCTTCTGAATAAGGCACACAGCAAGCCTTATTTCTCCCTGCAGTGGGGCCAACTGCACTGCCTGCTGACCACATAGCTTCTGCTGCGGTCCTAAGATCTCCCACTGCGCTTGCCCACCTCTACAGGTGGAATCATCAGAGATGGGACATGGGGAAGGCAGTGGGAAAAGAGCAACCAGCATGGCAACCTGTTCTTAGTCTCCCCATCTCAGAAGAGCTCAGAGACCAGAGGCTGCTGCAGGACCAAAAACACCAGGGCAAAGTCTGAGCTCATGACACCTTACTCCAGAATTCCCGGACCTAATGCAAGGAATCACCAGCTATGAGGCCACAGTGAGCAAAGGGATGACAGCCAGGAAAGGGGCTTTCAGACAGAAACCAACAATACTGTGAGTGTATAAGGGGGCAGATGGGGGCATGCTGGGGAAAGGGCCAGAGTGGGGCCGCATGGTG